GGGGGGGGAGTAGACAAAATTTTTAATCAAATTTTCATTAAATCCCAAAATTCCCTCGTTTTTCAAAAGACAATCGGGACTCGTCTCATCTTCATCGGTACAGTCCATGTCATGGCTCCTGTCCACGGTGAACGAGTCCGCTGTCGTCCCCGACAAATGACTGAATAATTGGTAACGGGGAACAGGGAGGAGCGACGCTCTCGAAATTTCCCATCTTCCCTTTGCTTGCTAACTGGCTATGTTTAATTCGGCAATTAGTCCTGGCAAGGATACCTGGAAGGAAACATTAGTTACAGGACGTGAAATCTGCTCGTTAGCCGTTTATCCGTAGTTACGTAATAGTCTTCGGAGGACCCATAGGTTCGAATAATGAGGAAGAAGGGGTACCTCCCCTCGCGCCCCTCTCTCGCCCAAAACTTCACTTCCACAGACGTGCGTGTGGATAGGGTAATTGGCTGTAAGGGACTATCGGACGACGTAATCACAACGATCATCCGAGAAGCTGTCATACCGAATTTTAATCTCGGCTCGTTGGTCCAGAACTTACAAAAATTAGACCGACCTTGGACTGATCCGGAAGCTAAGAAGAAAAAATTAACAGCATCAGCGATCACGGTTAATTTTATAATCAGCGACACCGAACCGCTCCGCCATGTTAATTAGGGTTGAGGGTAAAAAAAAAAAAAGATCGCTGGTCCATCTCGCAGATTCGCTAATAAGTCGCGAAGGAACAACGGGGGCCTCTCCGCCCGCCGAAGACTCGTAATTAACGTCTTTTCCTTCCTTAGCCTCGTTACTCGATTATGTTCCTAATTATTTACAACAATTTCCCGAGTCCTCCCACGCCCACCGTATTGATCTTTAGAAATCATTTGTTTCCTCCCCACGCGAAACCACCCAAGACGCGCATCGCTCACTCGGCTGATCCAATCAGCCAAGTTTTTCCTTTTGAGGCACCCTGCCTCCCCACCATTATTCTCCGAGCCAATGAAAGTTACTCACCCTGCTTATACACTCGGCGCACGTTGACAAAAGTCGAATCGCCAATTCGTAAAACCGCTGAGGCGCCGATATACTTTTGCGGCGGCGAGGGTTTCGATTTTTACTTATCAAGAAGGCGATCGTTTTTTAAAATAAAAATGAAAAAAAAGGCAAAAATTTTTCGAGGCACGAATCTTTTACTATGGACCCGTCCTCCCTCCCGCGCCCCCCACTCTTGGCACTCCCACTCCC